GGAAAACTAGATTCAATATTTGACCTAATTTGAACTGAAATTAAAGAGAAAAAAAACTTGTATTTGATACCAATGGCGTTGATTTAGGAAGACTGACCTGCACTGATCTTCTGCATTTCCAGTTTGGCTTTGTTAAAAGTCCACTTAGAATTGGGACCTGCCAAGGGACAATCAAAAGATTTGGTCTCCTCTAAAATCTTCAAAAAAAAAATAAACATAAAATAAATTGCACGACCAAGATAGTTTTGCATAAAGATTTTGGTAAAGAAAATTGCAAGTGATGAAGAAGCCAAAGACTCTGCAATGTCCCTGTTTCTTTGTGAGACCCCCAATGTATTGTATCTCACTTCTTTATACTTTTATTTATTCTCCACATTCATCATACATTCTAATTATTTACTTACAAAGACATACAGTCGTCAATGTACCTTTTATTTTCCTATAATTTGCCTTCCATTTTTGTTACTTATTCTCTTTTTGAGTTTTTTCTTCAATGGAGCCTTCAGCAATCTTGAATGGAAGAGAAATTTTCCAGGATGAATACCCACTGACAGTAAATCTGTATCCCAAAGATATAAAGTAACTTAAACGAAGCTACAAGATAGATGGAAAGAACAACATTGAGTTCTATTGCCTGGGCAGCATTCAGTCTGCTGGATGCTTGGTCTGGTCCATCTGATGCATTAGCTATTATGTCTGGTGTGTGATGGGCCTAGTTATCCAGATGCATCTCTGGACAGTCTGTTGGCCCTGTTCAGTTTGGTGCTTCTGTTTGGCCTTGTGGGTTTAGAAGATCTTGTCTGGTTTGGCATAAGAGTTTCAAGGTTCAAGACCACTACTTCCACACTTACGTTGCCTTCCCACCGTTAAGGTAATCCAAGCTTATTTTGTCTTTGTACTTGAGCATTGTTATGCCTTGCCTTAAAACTCAATACAATGTGGAAAACCAGAACGAAAGTTTGTTGACATTGATGATTTTACTGCACTTTAACAAAGTCCTGGATTAATTTAATAGAAATTTTAAACAATTTAATATATACAGACTACTCCTCAAGTATTGCAGTGAGGAACATAATAGCAGCATATAAAGCATTTGTGCAATAAAATGGTGATATCAAGTTTTACAAACTTATCCAACTGTTCAAAAATAGGATTTGGGGAATATTTTGAGAAATGTTTTGATGTTTCTTGAATATAACAATATTAATGATTTTAATTCTGTATATTATTTTAAATGTACAGATGAAAATGGCCAATAAATGCTGTCCTCCAAATGATCAGGTAGGATGCCTCTCTTTTGGAGAAAAAGTCATCTGTGTAATAAAAACATGTCTTCGTGTAAGAAATATATTTTCTCCATCAGAGTTAAAAGAGTGAAAAAGATGTGGAAACTGCTCCTAATAACAGGAGCTGTGTGATGGTAAAATTTACCATGTAACTGTGACTAAATGATGGGTAACTAGAATTTGAAAATGTGTACATGTTAATTTTAAAGAAGTTGTATGTGTATTATGTAGTATTCGCATTGATAACAAACCTTGCTCTATAAAGTTTGAATTTTAGTCATCTTTGAGACAGAGAAATTGAAAGGTATTATTGCTGTCACTTCTTGGTTATTAAGATCTGCATTATGGCTACTCACGTGTAAGCACTATTTGTTTATTTTATGGTTATTGCTTATTTTTTAATTAATGGCTATCTATAGCCAGTGGTATTTTAATTAATCCACACACTTTACATTTTCTTTAATCCATACTGCAAACTGCATTCATCTCTCAAATAAAAGGACACTGCATTTGTTTTAGTCAAATGTATTACATTTGTTTCTTAAAGTAATCTACTGTTTCTTTCACCAGGAATTAAACAGTAGTTTGTTTAGTATTGTGGACTTAAATAAACAAAGTAAGGACACAACAGTTCAAACACTGCTCAAAGGTATTGCTGAAATAATTTTCATCCCAATCTATAGTAGCAGGTTTTTATGGTTCTCCTATATTTCTGACCTCTAATCTCTTATTTATACAACCATTCACTTTCTCTTATCTCTTGTTTTACAATGGAGTTCTGGATAAGGCTGCTACTTACAAAACATGAAATGAATCAATATGTTCAATCAATTGTTAGACTCAAAACATGGACTGGATCAATAAAGTAGATAAATAAATAAGTAGATACAAAAGTCTGTCGCTGAATAAGGTATCCAGTAGATAAACATTGGCAAAAATTTATAGCTCGGGTTGTGGATGCAATTGTTCGTTAGCTTGCCGAGCCAGTTGTTCCTTGGTATGCAGACGTTTCAGTACTATTCTAGGCAACATCATCAGTGCGACCTCTAATTGAAGTGTTAGTGTTCTGCTCCGTTCCGAATTTATATGATCCTTTGGTGTGGTGGGTCTTGTCACTTCCGGTTCTGCTTTTTTAGCAGCGGTCTATTTCTATGTGTTTGTTAACGGAGTACCGTGTTGAGAACCAGGTTTCCCAGAAATTCCCTTGCATGTCTGTTGTTCGCTTGTCCCAGTATAGTCTCTCTGTCCCAGTTGAACTGATGGCCTTCTGGTAAATAAATCAGGTAAGTAAGGGAATTTGAACTAAAAATGATCTTTTATGCATTGCTTCATAATTTAGTCAATTAGAAACATGATAGTACTGAATGCCATCTTGCCTGATAAAATTACTTTAGGTTCAAAAATTTCAAATGATGATTATTACAGTGATTACCATAATCAGACAAAAAATTTAGTAGAGAAGCACTTTCATCAACTTTACGAATAGTTTTCCAACAAGCTTTGCCTTGAGACATGTAACTTAATTGTTTCTTATCTGTGACTTTACTTTGCTTCAGGTAACACAACTTCCTAATGTCTATTTCCTGGAAGATCTTCATCTCCTTGAACTCCCTCTGCATGAGTTGATGCTTTTTTCCCACAACTTCACTCCCTTTTCTCCTCATGAAGATATTGACTTCTAATTTCCTGCCTGTTAGACATTTTCTGAAATATCACTGAATGACTGTTAGCAATTGACCATAGGTGCATCACCACTACCAGCCAGGCTTTCAGAGCTGTGATCATAAGTAGGCCCTTAGTTGAGTTTCTCTTCCTGGATCAGAAGTATTGACAAATATTATTCAAATTGCCATTGGATACAGTAATATCACAAACATTGTCATCTTGTATATTTAGTTATTTTTTATTGCTTGTTATTCTATTGGCCATTGATAGCATGGTTTAGACTAAAATCTTACATGTATGCTTGTTTACTTTCTAAATATATGGAAGTAATGGGATCCAAACTTTCCCATCCAATAAAGTTTGTTAGAGTCCATTCTGAAAGTGGAAAATCCATTGTCATCCCTCGTTTGCTGTAACATCTACAGCCAGTTATTTAAAGGCTAAATAAATGCAAATCAGTGTACTGCAGTTTGCAATTCTTATTTGCTCTTGTAGAAATGGCCAAGATGGAGGTAAAGATAAAAATATCATCAGGGAATTGCCATGGTGCTTCTTTTAATCTCCCCAGAAGCAGACAATTAAGTTAACCGAAGCTGGCTGTCAAGTAAAGCATTCATTCCTGGCCTACATGTTGTCTTATCATCAACACTGCTGTGCTCCACTTATTTGCATGCTAGTCAGAAATCTAACGGTAATGACTTGGAAAGTCTTAGTACCCTTCAAACTATCTATCTTCATACTCAGAGAATGAGGTCAGCTTCATGTAGCTTCATGTAGTGATGTTGTGACCTATTTGAAGTTTAACATTCTTTTGAAGAATCCAAGGAATGTTCAGAATATTATGTGGAAAATGTCGGACAAGCAAAGATCATTTGTTCCCCCTTTCCATAGGCTCCACTAAATGAGAAAGGCAACAAAAAAATTTCTAAGAGGTTAAAATTGCAGATTGTGGTCTGTATTTTAATATCTTGTCCAAGATTTAGTTAGATATTACATCTGCATCATTTAATCAGTTTCATTCCATAGTTAATTCCTTCACGGTCATGAATGGTTCTGTCATATCCCATAAATTTTCTCATCTGCTGTGCTTATGCATATCTCAAAAAATTGCAGTCACATTACCCATATTTTTATCGTGATCTTTATTAAAGGGATTAATGAACATTAATCAACAACAACAATCAACTGCGCTTTTCTTTAGAACTCTGTTCCACATAATTTGTGTGAAGACAAAAAAAGTTTCTAATCCAGACTTTTCCTTTGACAATTGTTAATTTTGGACAAGCGTCTTTTGTTTCTGTGAGTAGTGTCAAAGTCAAATCGTCTGCATGCTAGCAAAGTCTCTCCAAATTTTAAATCTTTTTCTCGTGTAAAAACAAGCTCCACTTTCTGAATTTATCTCCATAATTTACAGCCCCATTTCGAAAAGGATCACCTTCAATCTTCTTGAAATTGCAAACAACATTTTTCATATGAGTTTGGAACTGGATGTAACTGAAAGCGATCTCTGCTGGAAAAATTCTACAATGAAAGAAGTTATGAGATATGTAATTTTGATGCTGCTGCCTAGAGAAGAAAAATGGAACCCGCACAGTTTATTAAATATCAGTTTTCTGACTGGTACTGAGTAGTACTGGGATCTTTCCCTCTGCTAGAGAACTCCAGCAACATCATTTGACAAACAACAGCCTAGAATGACTGTGTTATAAACATCCCATTAAGCTATATTGTTCAACCATGGCAAACAATATCAAAACCCTATCTATGCACACTCCCAGCCCATAGTGTGGTTTCCAGAGTCCCTGCATGTCCAGAGTTATTGTCAGACCAATGTGGCTTACTGCTGGCTGTATGAATAACCTGAATCATAGACACTTGTTTCCATTGGAATCATGGCATTTTGTAAAATAATGAAAACCTCTTGAGGTTACTGTTTTCATTTATTAATTTTGAGCAAAATTTCTTTATGTGCAGTTTAAAAGAAGTACACACTGAAAAAAAATCTGCAGTCGATATAAAGATGAATTGAATGACATGTAAAATCACAAGTTGTAACTTTCAATCTACAAACATTGGATGGCCAACATAAATATGGGTTTATTTGTTTCAGAATTTGTATCTATATCTCAAAACAACAAGGAAAACTAAGTCATTCCTTGTTGTTATGGCTTTCTAACTGTGACTTTTAAAATATTCTAAAGTTGCTAGTTGGTCTCTCTGTTATGCATAAAGCATAAAATTAAAATTGAAGTGATATTGAATCTGCAATACTGCACATTCTGTGTGAGTAAGCTGCCAAAGCCAATGAATATTTTGAGCTTGCTGAGCCTATCCTTGTTGTGCCTTTGCCGCAATGGAGACTGTCACTCTAAATTGGATTCAAATCCTCATAATTCCACACAGAACACTTTTAAGTGTTGACACCTCGATAATCCAGTTGAGCAATTTCCAAGCTGATTTAGACATAATGACCGCACAGAGTCCTTGAAGGTTTCATTACAAAATTAATGACTTTGTGTGCAAGAATCATAAAAAAAAATAGTGTTTTGATTTTGAGGATTGACTTTTCAATTTTCTAAGGTTTTCCTCTGCAGATAATTCACATGGGGTGGGTGAGTGAGAAGCTGCTAGGAACTGAATCCCATCAGCTTTACAAGTGCAAGTTTCTGGGACTGAAAGGTTCTTCTCTTCACATTTTCAATGCTCCACCGGTAAGAGGCAGAAACTCTTTTAATATTGTGCAGATTTTTCTTCTTTTTGCTTGTATTTTACTCCTGGGTTTTATTTAGAAACAATCATCTTAGCTTAAAATTAAAAGAGTACGTGTTATATGCTCCTGATAAAATCATCATGTTTCTCACCATGTTCCCCTCTGTTGCAAGCTTAATTTCCAGGCGTTTAACAGCACAGTGTTAGGGTACACCCTCTGAATTGTTTGGTCAGTGCTCCAGCTTCAAATTTAAGCAGTATAGCAGAATTTAAATAAAACACTCAAAAGCAATTGAATCAGATTAACCTTTTGGACCATCCATGTCCAGCTTGCTGTCAAAAACCGAAATTGTTGGTAAAACCCAGCAGGACTGACAGTATCCGTGGAGAGAAAGCAGAGTTAACATTTCGGATCCAGTAACCCATCTTCAGAGGATTTTTTTTTTGCCATTTACATGTCATTGGTTCAACAGTAGCTGTCTCATCTTTAACTCAGAAGATTGAGACATCACAACTGAATATATAAATAAGGTTAGCCCTACAAGGAAGTACTTATGGAATCATGCATTGTCAAAGCAGTCATTATTGAATGCTATGGATATAAAATATCTTGTAACATTATTTTGAACAAAAGAAATCTTCTGGTGTCCTAAATAATATTTATCTCTCAACAAATGTCAATAAAATCAGAGTATTTCATTATTAAACTCATTCCTGTTTATGGAATCTTAGTGAGCACATATTGGCTGTCAAGTTTCCCAATGACACAATAATAACTACCATTCCAGAGCTCTTCTTTGATGGTGAACAGTGCAATATCAATATATGTTTGTTATCTCCTGGTGACACGGATGCTGTAACTTTGTTGCAAATTAACTTGGGTGGCACAGTGGTTAGCTGTGCTGTCTCTAGCACCAGGGACCCTGGTTTAATTCCATCCTTGGTTGACTGTCTGTGGGGAGTTTCACATTCTCCCCGTGTCTGCGTGGGTTTCCGTTGGGTGCTCTGCTTTTCTCCCACAGTCCAAAGATATGCAAGTTAGGTGGATTGGCCATAGTGTTTAGATGTGCAGGCTATGTGTGTTAGCCATAGAAAATGCAGGGATAGGCTAGGGATGCTCTTCGGAGGGTTGGTGTTGAGCTGAATGGCCCGTTTCCACACTGTAGAGATTTGATGATTCTCTGAGCTTATTCCGTGGTTGATTAGCAATGTGTAGCTGTAGCCATTTGATCCGAATCACATTTGCTTTTGTGCAGTAATAGAAAGCAAAGAACTGCATATACTGCAGATCTGAAATAAAAACAGAAATTTCTGTGTAAAGAAAGCAGAGTTAATATTTCGAGTCAAGCAACTCTTCATCAAAACTGTTAGCAGCTGAGAAAATGTGGTATTTATTGCTAAAGTTAGATTAGGATGGAAGGGGAGAGGTGAGCTGACAGGTGGAGACAGAGCCCAGAGAGAGAGAAGGAGGGAGAGACGTGAAAGGGATAGGTAAACGCAGAAATAATGGATAGCACGTTAAAGTAGAAGAATAGCTGAATAATTGAGAATAAGAGCTAAGAGTAGGGTGAGCTGTACTGAAAGCAACCCATATAATATGATCTGAAAACAAAAAATGCGAGAGATCACAGCAGACCAGGCAACATTCTTGGAGCGAAAGCAAGCTAACATTTCGAGTCTAGATGACTCTTTATCAGAGCCTCAGTATACGCCGTAATTCGCTCCTCTGTATACTGTGATAATGGGCCTAGGAATACATGAGAATGGGTGACTGCTAAAAACACATCCTTTTCCTCAAATTTTGTAACTGTAACCTGTACAAACTTAAACATTTCCTGACTGACCTTTAGATTATGATTAGAATTTTCCCTAACAGCCTGCATCAACTTCTGATGTCTTTTTTTCAAAACTGTATCATTTTATAGTGTTTCAGAGATAGTAGGAACTGCAGATGCTGGAGAATCTGAGATAACAAGGTTTAGAGCTGGATGAACACAGCAGGGAAAGCAGCATCAGGTTCATTTTCTGAAGAAGGGTCTAAGCCCAAAACGTCAGCCTTCCTGCTCCTCTGATGCTGCTTGGCCTGCTGTGTTCATCCAGCTCTACACCTTGTTATCTCATTTTATAGTGTTATTGCTTATCTCAATCTTCCTTTTCCTTTTCCCTTTGCAACTCTAATTCTAATTTCCTTAACTCTCTTTCTTTCTTTTTCTCTGAAGTTCAAATATTTTAAATTCAGTTCCTTTTTTTAATCTCAATATCCATTTCCATTCTTTTCAATCCAACTCAATCTCAAGCTACTTCATTCTTCCCTCATGTCATAGAGATGCACAGCACTGAAACAGACCCCTCAGTCCAACTCATCGATGCTGACCAGATATTCTAAATCAATCTCGTCCCATTTGCCAGAATTTGGCCCATATCCCTCTCAACTCTTCCTATTCATATACCCATCCAGATGCCTTTTAAATGTTGTAATTGTATCAGCCTCCACCCACCATGTCTGGCAGCTCATTCCATACATGCACCATCCTCTGCGTGAAAAAGTTGTCCCTCAGGTGCCTTATAAATCTTTCCCCTCTCATCTTAAACCTATGCCCTCTGGTTTAGCACTCTCCCACCCTGGGCAAAAGACCTTGGCTACTCACTATGTCTGTCATGGATTTTATAAACCTCTATAAAGTCACCCTTCAGTCTCTGATGCTTCAGGGAGAAAAGCCCTAGCCTATTCAGCCTCTCCCTATAGCTCAAACCTTTCAACCTTGGGAACATCCTTGTAAATTTTTTCTGAGCCCTTTCAAGTTCGACAGCATCTTTCCTGTAGCCAGGAGACCAGAATTGAACACAGAGTTCCAAAAGTGGCCTAGCCAATGTCTGTACAGCCGTAACATGGCATCCCAATTCCTATACTCAACGTACTGCTCAATAAAGGCAAGCATACCAAAAGCCTTTTTCACTACCATATCTATATGTGACTCCACCTTCAAGGAACTCTGCACCTGTACCCCATGTCTCTCTTACGTTGTCCTTCTTCCAAAATATCCTGGCCATGAACCCAAAACTTTGTCATGTCTCACTGGGATAGTGCAATTGAGTTAAGCCTTCCTTTTCCTGAAGTCACCAAGAATGTGAAGATTTAATCAAACTACTAAAAATCCCAATTTGCTTCTGACTGAGCGTTATGATGGACAAAAACAAATCACAACAACATCCTTCAGTAAAAGTAAAAATCATCTGTTTGTTGTAACAAGTTTAACTTCAGTAAGAACAGTAAAATGAAAGGATTTATAATATTTGCATCTTAAACTTCACCTTTTTTTAAAATTCTCACACACACAAAACAGATTGAGTGGATAAAAAAGTAATCAGTTGAATATAATTCTTTGTCACCACTCCAAATCACAAAGCTAGCTAGGTTAGTATCACAATCCTGTCGATTTTCCAATAATGACTCTATGTTGTCTGCTAATGTTCAGACTTCAGTTCAATGGTTGATTAGTTGGATCCAGGGCCTGTCTTTTTCCTTTGGGTTTTAAAATTATTTTTTTCAGTATCTCTGAATGTAGCCTTTTGATCTTTTGATAACTTTCCAGCAAAAAGTGAGAGCTGAAATAACTCCACAGAGGCTGGCATCCCATCACCAAGTCACAGGTTGGAAAGTCCTTGAAATTTGTCCAGCTCCCTCAGAACCACCTCTCAGAGTGAACAGGATGCCTTATCTGCCAGCCAGGGCTCCCTGATTGGACCAGATTAACTGCCCAATCAGAGAGCTCATCTATGAGGTCCACCTGGCTGATATCTTTACAGTCAGTGTAAGAGTGATATAATTGCACCCTGCTTCTAGAGGTTTCCTTGCTTCTCAGTTTTCATTCCTCTTTTAGATTCTGTGTTAAACTACACCCTGACAAATCAGAGAGTTGTTTCTATGCTAAGCTCTTCCTGACCCACAAAAAATGGAGCCAGTTCATCTGGACTCAAACTAATATTGTCTTATATACATTAATTCACTTTGCTTGTTTTTCCAAATGGCGAACAACTTCTTGTACATTCTCCTCTTTGAAAAAGCAGTGTCCATTTATCTCATTTTCAATCTATTGTCCAAAAATGTGAACTCTTATAAAGATAATGGACTAAAAAGTCAGTGGGAGATGATCAGAGATGCTTCTACTCAGTGAGCAATTGTGTGATAGAATGTGTTGCCTGAAATGGTGGTGGAAGCAGTTTTAGGAATAATTCTCAAAGGGAAATTGGTACACATTGAAAAAAAACAAATTAGGTCAAGAGGAACCAGCAGGAGTTTAGGAAACATTGGAGGGAACTTTAAGAGAGCTAGAAGAGGCATGATAGCACAAATGGCTTCTGTGTTAACTGTTTCATTGTATACTATGGAACTATGTTTTAAACTCTGTGCACTTTTAGACTGCATCAAAGGTTTTTAAAATTAAGTAAATGATGTGTAATTTTAATATATTAAAGGGAATTCAAACATATGATGCCTTTTGCTGGATTAATTTCTTTTATTTATTTTTCAATTGAAAGAAAACTTCACTTGCACTTCACTTGGTGGTATTTGTCGCTCTACTGTTTGACTGGTTATTGTAGGACGACTCAAAATGAGCTAAAAGATCACAAAATCACATCTATTTAGCACCAGATTCTCTAGTTTGAATACTTCTGAAATGCCATTCTTTTCCCATTGTATCAATGCCCACTTCAATTGTGCTGCTTATTGACTAGAAACATCGTATGACTGACACTTTATCTGCTGCTGTAGTCACAACCCAATAATTCACTACCCTAGCTACTTTGAAGGGTGGTTATGGCTATTTGCATATCAGAATCATTTGTTGGCCAGTATGAACAAGATGGGTTAAATAACCTCCTTCTGTATCAAACATTTTCTATGGTTCTATCTTTTCAACCTCACTTAATATCCTCTGATCCTATTCATAGTTGTGCAGTAATGTCCTATTCACTGCAATCGATTTTTCTCCCATCGCTGCTGTGTACCAGCAGATCAAAAATATCAAAGCAATTATGTCACTTGTTGACAAAGGTACAATAAAATGTCAAAGCTTAATTAGAGCCAAAATACAAATTTTGATAAATTGCATCCTACATGAGAGTTCATGACTGTCACTCAGTTTACAAGCCAGATTGTTAGTTGTATAGTACTAACTGGGTATTTCACAAAAATAACTGAGCCATAATTTTGTTTCTGACATTATAATTTTAAAAGTTTTTTTTTTAATTTTCACAGGTCAGCATTCGCGACTGGCTTTGGGCTGAAAAAATCTACAACCTCTGTGAGATTCTTTGTAAAGTTCACAAGGTAACTCTCTTTGTCTGGCAATGAAATCAAGCCATTCCGGCAAAATGCAGAGCATTGAACAATAGGTTAAAACTTATATGTCAGGTGGTTTTGACATATATTGTGTGGAATGAGTGGAATATGAAAATCAGAGGCTTCATGTTTTTGGCTGTTCAGTTGCTGTATTTTTAATTCTGAGTCACAAGGACACAGGTTCACTGACCCAAGTTTGGACACCAGTGCTGAGGTGTTGCATTGTTGGAGGTGCTATCCTTTTGATGAAAGCTTAAACTGCCTACTTGCTTTGGCAATTAAAATCATTAGTTTCAAGATGGCAGGTTACCATTTCAGAAGTAGATGATGAAGTTGTTTGAAAAGCATCAAAATTTTGACATCAAAATTGATCGTGTGAAATGATGGCATTTTGGAGACCAAATGATGTACATGGTGCCTTCTGTCTCTGTGATTATGATTTCCAGTATCCACGTACCATGTTTAGTAATTTTATGTAATTGCAGCCACTCTTTGTCCAATATCGAAAAAAGGGCTTTTCCACAATAAAGAAACTGTTGTGCTATTTTGCTCAACTCATTTGATTGTTTTAATGAAGGAGCTGAGGCAGGGACATGAATAGGAGTCACATCCCTGACATTGTTTGACAGCTGAAGATAAGAGTAGATGGTACCAATCTAATTAACTGCATATATTGATAATGGCTTAAGAATGTTGTCTGCAAACTTTAGATCCAATTGTTATATATTTTCCCTATTGCAAACTCAAATGTTCACATCACCTTTTATGCTCTAAATATACGGTCCTACCATGTGGTGGTACTATAGAGCACCAATTTTGTGTTTCTGGCATCTTCAGCCCATAATATAGTGAAACATCTGTGGTTCAACCAACTTTACCTCTCTGTTTCCCAAATTCTCGTAAGTTTTGTAGTTGAATTATAAGTAATTACATCAAATCAATGCTACATAATAATAAAGATGAAATGTACGTCTATAAATAGGAACTAAATTACGTCCAGGTACCCTTTTCAATCTTCTTTGCTAGTTGACAGTACTTCACTTGAAGGAGAGATTTATTTTTGTCATTGTGAGTGATGCTATCGGTGATTCATCAGTGTTTCTATTTCCAAAGTGGAATCTGTTGTTAGAGCAGTCATCCTCCTTGTAATACAATGATTCGAGTCTTGGTGGTTAACTCTGTTTTAAGCATTGCCTGATGTAATTCAAGAGCCACAGTCTGTGATGGCAGTCCCTTTTGCATTTGCTGCAGAGGAAGTGAGTGAGTTAGATAATGCACAGTTTGCTGGCCTCTCTTTTGTCTGTAACCTAGGTCTGACTCTTCAAATGCCACTTCAAGCAGTCGGCCTCCAAAGATCACGGAAATCAGCAACTGACTCCCAGCCATTAATGTCCCCCATCTCCATATCTCACTGGCAGGTGTCATTGTAGAGGATGTGTACACTCAGGAGACCCAGTGGCTAATTCACCATTCAGAAGGTCTGCAGCCATCGTCTAACCAATGAATATGACAAAGACAGTGCAAATGCTGTTGACTTAGCCATATCTACTGTTGTTGAGAGAAATATGTAAACATAGCAAATGAAATCACTTTTGAAAAAGATTGTAAATATTTTGTTTCTGAGAATCATTGATAATCTGATTAACTCAAATTATTCTGAGAAACTGGAGGTGTATTTCCATTTTGGGTGAAGTAAGCAATGCAGGTGCAAAGTGAATTGAAAATTGTTTTAGTTTTCTGAATTGAATTTTTTTTGTTAAATGTTCCATTCAATATTGCATTCATACCACCAAATATAAAATCTTCCATGAGTCAGCACAATTGAGAAACATTTTAGAACATGATGTTTTTCAAAGAGACTTTGTAGTAAAAGTATTTGCTGTCATACTTGAGAGTGCGAATATTGTGCAGTTTTATTAATATAACTTAGGTTATCATAAAAAAAGCATTTTAGATGAAATAATCTTCCCTGTAAATGAACTGGTTTTAAAGAAGTAAAAATTATTTTAAAATAAACTATCTAGAATCATTCATTAGTTGCATTGGCATACAATAGTCAATTTCTTAATAAACTGAATGTTCTTTACTAAACTTCAAAAGTTTTAAAAGGTACATATTAGTGCCACTGCAGTTGACAAAAATTTTAATATTAAAATTTTACTTGAAGACCCACAATTTGTAAAGGTAATTAGTTCAATTGGGAGAGTATGACCAGTCTTGTGGCTGAGCCTAACTTCCAGAGGAATGGATTTTAAAATGCAAAACACCAATTAAACGTGATTGGGACTAGATGTAACCTGTGCCTGAAATTCATCCTTTTGCAATTTCCTCTGAATCAAATAATCTCAAAACCAATCTTTTCATTTGAACTCAGTTAAAAAGATAGGCAACAAAATGAATGATCTTTAAACTTATTTGCATTCAGGTCTCATTTACATGATCAAGGTCTAATCTACAATTTAAATGTTTTGTACAAAAATTACAACTGCTGCTCATTTTGAAATACTTGTATTTTATGTTTGACATTCAACATACATTGGATACTCATTCCCATCTTGTTATAATTCTATGAGATTAATCTGAGTGACGGCCTTTCTCTTCTGGTTAATCTGACATTAGGTTATACATTAATAAACTCAAGATAGTTAACTAAATCTGTCTATTCTTAACACTTAACAAATAATTTCATAATATAGTGAGCCTTGATGAACAAATTAAGTTTGGCACTGTGAAAGTACTTTTAATTTTCCTTCTGATATTACATTTTACAAATATGCATTGCACATTAGACCATATTAGCCATACTTTAAAGGGAACATGTATGTTTGAAACAGAGTACGTTTAGAATGCTTCATTGTGCTATAATTTTCTTAAGGAAACATTTGTCCCATAATATTTGGTGAGCAATGGCTAATTAAAATGTTTTATAGACATTATCTGCTTATAAGGTTAAATGGCTTGAAGATAATCTACTGCAGAATATTTTACAGCTCTGGCTTGCTGATGAATGCTGGCTTCAAGCAAACTTATGTTTAGGTCTTCATCAGGACTGTGAGCTTCAAGACCAGAGGCCGTATGGTTTCAGTGTTCTGGCGGGTCAAGGCGAGAATCATTATTTCTGCGTTGAGATGGGCAGCGAGCTTGCAGTTTGGGAGAAAACCTTCCAGAGAGCAATTTTTATGGAAGTGCAGAGAACAGGAGTAAGTAGGACAACATGAACTCATTGTATATGGTTACCAGTTACATTGCAACAGAACCATAATGATTGCTGTTTTGTCTGATGTTTCAAAAAAAGATATATATGATGAAGTCTATGTGCTTTGCTCATTGATAACGATGTGTGCACAATATGAACCTGTAAATCAGAAAATGCTAATAATCAGCTGTTAATCTGTAAAAATACTATGAGTGCTTATTTTATGGAAAATAGGTGCATATTGTCAGGAGTATTCACATGGATATTATCCCTGTGGCTCTAGAGAAATCATTTCATGAAAGTGACTTTTCCAGAGAAACTAGTTAATTCTGCAATGACAGATCAGACACATCAAAATCTAACTTGTAATCACTTTGATTCAATTAATTAATTGAGCATGTATTGCATAACTACAATTTCAACCTAATACGGAAAATGTAAAATAACTCAAGTGAGTCCAGACAAGTCTACCTAAAACAGTTCTCTTTATCCTTTACTATATTATCGTTGAAGGACTGCTATTCTGAGCTATTTATTTCTTTATTTTTCTAATTTATTGCTTTGATTTTGTACTTTTGAAGGCCTTTAGTGCTGGGCTTTCTATTTCTTTATTTTCTATTTTTTTCCCGAAGAATTTGCACTCAAGAATCTGTACCTTGGTGCCTTTGTACCTAAGATGGCACCGTAAGTGGTGACTAGTAAACTTTTCACTGTACTCATGTGAGTAAAACAAATTCTAATTCTAATTCATACAGCATTCTTTTCTACACTTCACATTTTGTATTATGTTTACCAAAGAAATGAACAGTAAATCTAGGGTTATCCACTAATGAACACAATAGCCCTTGTACAATAAGTATTTATGAAAAGCAAAACTGGAGATCTGCCATTATTCATATTTGACCCAGTCCTGTTAACGTGCTACAGCATCAAATCTAAGATTTAGAAAAAGGTTTCTGACCCTTTTTTGCAAACTGAGATCTTCCTCACGGGTACAGTCACTGCACAATGCTATACTGTGGGATGGAATATGATAATCAGTTCAAGGTGCAGTGCAAACATCAAAAATATCCTTTTGGTTCTTTCAGTTTTTATCTCGTATCAAAAATATCAGTTTGTTGTTACATAAGTAGAGGAAGGTAAACAATGAATTTGAAGATAGATTAGAAGCTTTTCCAGTGTTAAAATGTAGATTATTATTGTATTTGTTTTAGCTTTTACAGCGTGGAACTGTATCTGCAACCATATCGTAATGCACGATATAGTGACGAGATAGGCTGTTGATTTAATGGTAACTCACTGCAGGAAGATATCAATTCATATTAAGGTGGAGGTAGAATAACAATGGAGTCAGAGAGTATTGGGTAAGTGAAGTTGAAGCCACAATCAGATCAGCTATAATTTAATTGAATTGGAGAGCAGGTTTCAGGGGCTGAATAGCCTATTCCTCTCCTAATTTTTTTTCTTGTGCTGAATGTTCAGAACTGGATTTCCACACAGTAGGCACCATGTATGCCACAAATATTCTTGTTTCTCTTATTTCTTCCATTATTTTACACATTAATCATATTGTGATGCTTTCTTAAGGAAACACTCCCAAAAGTGTAAAAGCAGCATTAGAGAAAGCTTAGCTGCAGATTAATTGATGCACATTCTCATTTACTTACCTCAGAAGTACTTTCTGAAGGAACAATTTGAGGTTTGAAAAGCATTAGAAAGAATATATTCACAGCTAGAATTTCATACTAAAAGCAATTTGATTTCTTGCAAAAACAGGTTCATTTAGCTTTGATTCTTGTTTGACTACTGCTACATGGAGCCCTGTCCAAGCTCAACCAATGATGACATGCTGGTACCTACATGTCAAGAATCCAATAATAAAGAGGAAGCCTAAGGCAACTGATTGAATGGGAATCCTTTAAATCACTGATGAATTTCCACATGTCCTGACCCTGCAGCAACATTGTATGACAGCCGAAATTAGCTTTTCCTAAGCTTCTGATCTCATTGTGCTCATTCACCCTCAATTCTCTTCCACAGGGTGATACTAAAAACACACTGGAAAATTAAAATTTACATATCCATGGATGGTGCAAATTTTGTTTTTTTCATGAAGATATTTTCATATAATGATAAACTATAGATACAATACTATAATAGCAGGGGCAACTTCTATTTAAATGCAGAACAACCCAAAGTTTTTTTTTCTGGAAGCATTTAGTTTACTGGTCTATTGAAAATTATTTTCTTTTCACAGTCACTCTAAATCCTTGCAGCGTGTTTAACATATTAGGATCCAAACTGATTCTACAGCAAAGCTAAGTGAGATATGACAGTTTGACACCAAATTCTAGCTGTACTTATGCACTAGTATGAAACAGCTATGACATATCAGACAATGGCGACTATGCTGCCTGGAATTTTGAATACATGTTACTTGTAGGTTTTACATGCCCTGAGATTCACCCACATAACTACAGTGTCTAAAGCACTTCATACCTATTCTTAGTCCATGGTAAAAACTCACATTTAACCTTTCAGAATGAAAACTAAATCACTTCTGCACTATTTTGAAAGTTAAACATTTCTAACTTCATTGTACATTGAGGATTATACACCGAGGCAGTGCTCCCCATACCTCAGCATAAATGCCACCTGTGACGCAACCTCCACTTTGCTGCTGCCATAACTGCAGATATGCCAAAGAGGAGATGTCTGGTGATGCATCCTGATATTTAGGGCTAGGTTGATAGCCCCTTGCCAAAGAGATGAGGTTTTATTGCACAGGGCAAGAGAGGGGTGTGGGGTGAGGTAGAGATTGGGAGGCAAGCTGTTGGGAGGGGCCTCCGATGCCATCTGCAACATAGGAATCCCAATCCTAACTGGCCAACAGTCTGCAGGTTAAATCGGCCAACTGCACACTGAGCGCCAACCTCCCTCGCTGCCCATTAATCAAGAGTTGAGGCAGGTTAAGCCCTTTGGGTAAGAATTGGCACCTTAATGTCCTCATCTTTGCTGTGGGCAGATGGCCTTCTCCTCCAGCGTCTTAAAATCATGGTTATTATGTATGTTGGGGTAGTAGGGTCAGGGCGTTGGTGGGTTTGGGTAGGAGTTCATTGGTGGGGACAGTGTTGAATGGTGTTTGTAGGGAGAACATGGATGCCACCAGTGACTCTACCCCTCCTCCCCAACCTGCCACCTGCCTTCCCACCTGTGGGCAGCCTTCAAAAATTCAGCCCAATGTTAATAAACCGCAAGAGATTTGGTAAAACTGAAGAATAATGGAAGGGTAGCCTGATACTTGAAAGCACCAAAAAACTTCAAAAAATTGTATTCTGGTCAAATGAAATTCTCTGCTTTGGAGTCATAGAGTCATAGAGATGTACAGCATGGAAACAGACCCTTTGGTCCAACTCATCTATGCCGACCAGATATCCTAAATAAATCTACACCCATTTGATTATTGATTGATTGATTGATTTATCGTCATGAGCATCGAAGTATAGTGAACAGTTTTGTTTACGAGCAGTACAGGCAGATCATAGTAAGCAAGGATGTACAGATCAAAGATTGTAAAATAAAGACTTAGACAGAGGCATACGAGTTACATTGCACAGGATGTGCGCTAGACGAGATCAACGTCAGCAAGATCAGCGTTATTTGAGGCTGGAGAGTCCATTCATCCCATATCCCTCTAAACCCTTTCTATTCATATACCCATCCAGATGCCTTTTAAATGTTATAATTATACCAGACTCCAACACTTCCCCTGGCAGCTCATTCCGTACATGCATCACCCTCTGTGTGAAAAAATTACCCCTTAGGTTCCTTTTAAATTTTTCCCCTCACACATTAAACCCTGTAATTTTGGACTCACCCACCCCAGGGAAAAGACCTTGATATTCACTCTCACCATACCCCTCATGATTTTATAACCTTCTATATGGTCACCCTTCAGCCTCCGACACTCCAGGGAAAATAGCCCCAAGCTATTCAGCCTCTTCCTGTAGCTCAAATCCTCCAACCCTGGCAACATCCTTGTCCATCTTTTCTGTATCCTTTTAAGTTTCATAACATCCTTCCTGAAGGAGGGAGACCAGTTCACATCGATCTATTCATATACTTACATTAAACCTAGCATTTTAATTACTATTACTCACTGTTCAAATTGAAATAATGATAAAAGTTGATTAAATGGAAGAATCTTTTTTAATCACTCATGGGATCTGGGTGTCACTGGCTCAGCCAGCATTTATTGCCTGTCTCTTTTTGCCCTTGAGAAGGTGGTGGTGAGCTGCATCCACATAAAATATAAACATAGCTGTGCTAGCTCAGGCACTGCACTTTCCTCATCCACATGTCTAATTTTGCATTCAGCACTGAGATCATGCTCCATAGACTATATTATCTACAAATCTTGTTCTGTCTCAGTATGTCATGTAACCACTGTAATAAATTAGTTCAATTAAGAACAGAAATTGCCTGTGGCATTTATGTGGAATGGCGCACGTCAGTAGTTTTCTCTACTTCCTGTGCTCGTTCTTACGGGACCTTTCTCTGTGATGAAAGCTGAGGCTGGTTGTCAGGATTTATTTTTCTTTCCTATGTATAATTCAGTGGTAGGTGGTTAGCGTGTGTAGTTCATTCAACATGAACTGATTTAATTATTGCTTTAATGTGTGTATATGTATCAAACAATTATCTCTTAAATGACTGCTGGCTCTGGAAACAGTCCAATCGAGAAAGCAATAGCAAAAAATAGAAGTTGCTTGAAATACATAGCTTATTGTCACCTGCAAAAGAAACAAAAGCATTTGTGTTTTGACCAAGACCTGCCATCAGAGCCCTGGTCTAACATTGGTATTGGCACTTTTTCATTTCAAATGCAAAAAGATTATAGTTCACAAAATTAGCAAAAGAACACTCAATGTCATTTCACACAAAACACAAATTGGCTATTCATTCCTTCAATCCTGTTCCACCATTCTGTTTGTGCTAGCTTGT